GAGAGAGAGAGAGAGAGAGAGAGAGAGAGAGATGGACAATGCAAGGAGAGAAGGGGCCTTTTTGCCTAAGAGTTAGGCCACCTCTTTTATTCCTCATTCATATGAAAAGATCAAAATACCCATTTGTTTTAGCTTTCACATTAATTATGCAAGGGCTTTGAAAGTAAAAGAAAATGTTCCAGTGGTTCTAATATTAAGCTATGTTACTTTCGGGGTTGTTAACTATGAAAAATCCTTAGAACCGTTATATATACAGTTGTTAACTGTAGAAAATCTTATATATATATATTTATATATTTGTGTGTGTGTGTGTGCGCGTGCGTGTGTGTGTGCTAGGGGAAGGGTGATAATACATATATGCAAGATATATTATATAAATATAAAAAGAAAGTGGAAAGTTATAGGGAGAGAAGGAAAGAGAGTAGTGAGCCACCATCTGCTTCTCATTGTCTCTATCTCTATAACACTTGCTACTATATAATAGCTATATATTATAGTACATAATTGAGCTGTACATTATGGTGACATAGAAATACTATAATATTACAGTACCAGTAATATATCATAAATAATATTGTACTATTGTAGTTCTATAGTACTATTAAAGTACTACTGCTATATAATACTATATAATATACGATTCTAATTTCCCATAGTACTATGTAGTTCTATTACTACTATTTTTGTAGTGTGCTATAGTAATATATAGTACACAATTGCAGCAATATATTTTACTAATAAATTCCAGTAAGTTCTTTAGGATATTTTCCCCCGTGGAGGTAACACAATTGCTTGCCTAGTCATTAATATATATTATATTATACAGTACTGTTTATATTATATAGTACTGTATTACAGTGCTAATTGTGTATATGTACCATACTAATATCTATGATACTAATTTTTCGTACATCACTACAATTCAATGTATATTATATAGTACTATAAGTGTAAATAATACACAATATATAATATTGGTAGCTAAGATAATGTTAAATTCCTTTGTTTTTGTCCCAATGTGTTACCTTCCTATTTTTTTGCTGAATGATTCTATTTATCGAGATGCTGTGATACAGATAGTAGCCTATTCTATCAAAATTGTGAAAATATTTCTATTGCTTCATTACATATGATTGGATAGATTTCAAGCAATATATTATTTTCAGTCTGGACGAATCCATCAGGTGTTTCAAAATTTGGCATGATTTACGTATGACCTACTAAATCAGGGAGAAGTTTATATTTTAACTTGTATTCTTTAAGTCTATTTGTCCCTCTGGTTTATTGCTACTGCTAGTTTACCTGGTTTTGTACTCCTAGGTAGTTACATAAAGTGCTCTTGAATTCTTGTGGTCTTTTTGGGTTGGTGCAGTAAGGACATAGCTAATTTTCATAGACCCAAGGCTCTGTGGTACCCCCATGACAATGAAGTAGCTGCCAAGGAGCAGGGAAAGCTCTCTGCCCAAGGACCTATGAAAATTATACTGAAGAGCATGGGAGGAAAGGGGAGTAAGCTGCATGTGGATGCTGCTGAAACTGTAGCCTCTGTCAAAGGCAAGGCATCAAAAAAGCTAGGTTAGTCAGGCCTCCTTTACTTCAGTTCTAATGCATCAAGTATTGCTGGTTAGTATGGTGATTATTTCTGTTGGCTTTCATAATATCATTCGATAAGGCCTTTTTTAATTTGTTACTCTTGTTTATTCTAAAGATTGTAAGCAGTATAGCTTGGCATTATCACAACTTATGCCTTGTTAAATTTATACTTGGACCTCCCCTTATCTGCAGATTTTAAGTCATCTGAAAAGGTTAAAGTGTTCTATTCTGGAAAGGAGCTGGAAGATGATAAATCTCTTGCTCAGCAGAATGTTCGGCCAAATTCTGTGCTCCATCTCGTCCGCACTATGATACATTTATGGCCAAAGGCACAAAGACTCCCAGGAGAAGATAAACCTTTACGTCCTCCTGGGGCTTTTAAGAAGAAGTCAGAGCTTTCCGTGAAAGTTGGCCATGTCTTTTTAATGGAGTATGTTGCCTTCTAAGTAAATATTGTGTTATATCTCTTTATATAGAGCTACAGTGAATCGCTTACATTACATGTGGATGTACGTTCTGCCTCCTAATTTAAATATACTTGGACCACTATGTCTCATATTTGATGGATCGTTTTTTCACGGATGTTTAGTTGATGTTATCTATCAAAAGAAAAATACTGGATGATACCGCTCTTCCCTCTTATCTCTCTCTTTCTACACCCCTCCAAAATGTTTCTTTGTAGTTCCTTCAACTTTTACCTTTCCAGTAATGGTAGTTGACTGTTCTGTGCTTTAAGGTTTAATCTTGTTACTAATGGTTTATTTTGTGAATGTACTATTCCTGGCACTGTATCCATGTTACAGAGGAGAGTTATTATTATATAGTTGTGGGGATTTTTCCAAATAATACCTGAAAAACTGTACTATGTCATTTGAAGTTATGATTTTCTTACTGGATTACTAATCATGGGTAATTGGAGATTGACAATATCTGATGACTTTAAGATGAAAGGTTCTCCTTTTACAGTTTGTTTCAATGTTAACATGCTCAAGAAAAAAAAAACGACAATATGTGATGACTAAAAATTTTCTGATTTTGTCTAATATTCTAGTAACTTTATTTGGTGCTTTACTTAGTAACTCCATGATTTCTTTATCCTTTGGCATTTCAAGAATATAATGATGACTCATGGAATACTTTTTATGAAGCTGATCGAATTACCAGAATGTTAAATTTAGGATATTGATAGATATGCTGAAATTCTATATTAGGGAAAATTCTGTCTATGTGTAATTAGTGTAGTATTAGTATGTTCTTGTATGTGTGAGTTCATTTTTCATTCACTCATTTTTCTAATTTTTTGCGCACCTTTTAGGGATAAGGTATTTTGTATTAATGGTCATTTCTCATGATGGTGGCACCTGATTCCCCATGATTATAGTCCAGTTTGGCATATTTGATGTGCTTTTTATTTATGCTTCCTGCTTTCTGTTTGTGCTTCCCTGAAACATGTCTGAGACACTTGTTTCAATACTCTTTTATTGTGCATACAGGTACTGTGAGGAGAGACCCTTATTATTGGGAAATGTTGGGATGGGTGCACGTTTATGCACTTACTATCAGAAATCATCATCTGGTGACCAAACTGCCACTACGTTACGAAATGGAAATAATGCTCTGGGGAGCGTTCTCGCTCTTGAGCCAATGGATAAGTCCCCTTTTTTGGGAGATATTAAACCTAGTTGCAGCCAGCAATGCCTTGAAACAAATATGTTTCGGGCTCCAGTATTTCCACATAAGTTGTCTTCAACTGACTATTTGTTGGTTCGTTCAGCTAAAGGGAGGCTTTCACTTAGACGCATCGATAGACTGCATGTTGTTGGACAACAGGTTACTGCACTTCTCTATTACTAGCATTTGAGCTTCATACGTCAGGGAATGCCTACTCACACATAGACTTCTTCCTAACAAATATTTATCTTTGGTAGGAGTTGGCTGGCGTTGATGGTCTGGCCAACACTTGAATGAACTTGTTACTTGAACAGCTCTATATGATTTATAGATCTTATGTGTTTTCTTAATTGTTATGAATCAGAGAATTTAGTGTGTAATTGACATTGGTATATTCGGCTGACCTGGTTTGCATTTATTGCATCCACAGGACCGTTGTACATTTGGACTGAGAAATTGCCTAGTTAAGGGGATTTATTTGGCCTGAAAATTTTCAAAACATCTATGGTTCACCTTGGGACCAATTTCAAGCGGAAAAATCAATTTTTAGCTTCGAAACCTATAAATCTGATTGTCCGTCAGATGGACAGTCTGGAGTTAGTTAATCTTGGAGTAGGAAGTGATGTTGAATATCTTTTGAGCTTGAAATCATTTTGTTTAGATTGATCTTTGAGATGAACATAGATTATTAAGGAGTTCTGGGTCAACCAAATCATAGCAGTATGGTGTTTTTGCCGCAGACCAAATGTAATTGCATCCTGGAGGACTACCAATTTTTCTATCAAGCATTAGGCTGTCATAGTTTGCATTGAAGTTTAATGATAGTTTTCTATCCTCCGCCTCTTCTGATATGTCAGGATCTTAACCACTGCTATTAATTTCATACAAGATTTGGAATAATATGATTCACATGCATGACTTTGTACCATGTTCTACTGCCATAATGGTCGACATCCATTGTTGACTTGGATGTCAGTATTCTTTCTAAGTTTCTTTGGTGGAGTATTCAAAGTTTTTTGTTTCTATCTGATTTAGTTAAATGGTGAATATATATATATATATAGGAAAAAGCTCCTGTCAGCCCATGGAATGATGAAACAGTGTAAGCCCAACGTCCAAGATTGAATCTAGACCAATCCATTGATCATGGTTTAATTTGTAATTGAATTTTAATTTTTTTTCTAAAAATCCAAATCACTTAAAATTTGGAGCGTCTATTCTTCAAAAATATTGGAATCTAATAAAAATATCAAAAATATAATTCGCATAAAATAAATTGACCAAAATACTTTTTAGGGGTATTTTGATCAATTCATTTTATGCGAATTAGTTTTTTAATGCTTTGATTAGGTGCGCCTTGATGGGAAGAGTTGATACTCTAAATTTCATGTTATTTGGATTTATATAAAAAATATTAAAATTATATTACCAAAATACAGTCCTGACCATCATATTGGCCCAGATTCAATCCGGGCCGTTGAGCTCATGCTATTCCATCAGCTCGTGTGCTGACCCTAGCATTTTCCATATATATCTATATATATATATATATATATATATATTATGATGAGTAACAATCATCATAAATCATTTCTTTATGGCCTTTTGCTAGTGCTCTCTTATTTTGATTCTCTAATTTGGTTTTGGCTCATGTTTATGGTTGTCTTGAAGCAATATGCGGCTATTTGATACACTTCTGATATCTTCTCCATGTTCATATGTGGTGTGATTTCCAAAGCATATGCTATTTGATGATATTGTTCATAATAGTGCTTCGGTTTGCGTGTTAGTATTATCACCTGTTTGACGCTCAACATATTATCACCTGAAATGTGTACTAAAAGTTAGTGGCTATGGTTCATTATAATGGATTGATTTTTGTCTGCAAATTCCCAAATAACACTGTGCAGGAACTTCAGTTGAAAGAGTTGTAAAATGGAAGATTTCTTTATTTTCGTTGCATGTTAGTGTGGAGTGATTTCATGCCATTGTATGACTATTTCAGGGTTTAGATAATTGATGGGTTATTGTAGTTAAAATAGTAAGTTTTAAGGTAAAATAAATGTGCCAAGTGTAACATTTTGTGTTGGTAATATTTTTTATGCTTTTTTTTCTTAGTGTTATATGATTCTTGGTTTGAAGTTGATCATGGAGGTTGCGTTTAGGTGTAACATGTGGATGAATAAACGCATAAATGAAAGACATTAAATACTGTAAATTGTTCTGGCTGTCTCTTCTATGACCTATCCCTGAAAATTGAGCGAATTGATAGTTTTGTGGGTTGCAAATCGACCAATTTAGTGGATGGGTCTTATAGGTTTGTGGCCTTTGTCCCCAAGTTCTAAAGAGGTAGACAGATTTAATTCTCCTAATTATTTAAGTTTTTGCAGTAGTTGATTTGAATTTTTTCTAGTGATTTTGTTGCCCAGGAACTACTAAATTGCAGGTTGAGATATTAAGAGGACTTGCCCTTTCAATATTTCAACACGTTGGCAGAGATAGGGGTCTAGTGGATGTTGGATTGGGTAGATTTTCCAAGGCTCGAATACTTCACATGGTTTCTCTTGTACTTGTTGATTAAAATAACACTTAGAAAAATTACGGGATATGCTTTCTGTTTTTCTTTGCACAAATCAGAAATGGCTCCTAGTTGTTTATAAAGAGTCAGTGTCTGTGAATTTCATTGTTTCATGGGGAATTCCCAGCTGTTTGTCCTACCCGAACAAAGAATTTTTCTTGTGACATTTCCCTTTGTTTACTTCCCTGGCCAGTCAACACAATTGGTTGTAAGGCTTTATTGCAGCTACTAGAAGCGTGAGGTTTGTTTCTGTCTTGCTCTGTAAGGACATTTTGTTGAGAAGTACTCTTGATGCTTTACAGGAGCCACACATGGAAGTCATTTCTCCAGGATCAAAAGGTCTCCAATCATATTTAGGAAACAGATTGTTGGTGTATTTGTACCGTGAATTTCGTGCCAATGAGAAGCCTGGGTTTCTCCCCTATGTACGAGCAGATGAACTTTCAGCACAGTTTCCTAATTTATCAGAACCCTTCCTCCGGAAACGGTTGAAGCACTGTGCGGATCTCCAGGTATTTATCCTCGCATGGGACACTGTCATAGGGATGGGTAATTGCCTTTTCATGTTCTAGCATCCATAGCTTGCTCTCTCACATGATGGTGTTTCTTATCACTTTTATGGAGTTTTTCTTTTTATTGTTTGTTAATTCGCTTTTCTTCGTAATTCATCCTGGTACAAGTTTTCATTCCTGTTATTTTACTTTTCATGTTGGTTTCATTGCTAATATTAAATAATTGTATGACAATATAGAGAGGACCAAATGGAGAAACATTGTGGATGATGAGACGTAATTTCCGGATACCTACGGAGGAAGAACTGCGAAGAATGATGACTCCGGAGAATGTAAGATTAGTAATAATGCTTCCATTTTTTTTACAAGCAGGTTTGTGATTAGATATGTTTGCTGGATTTGTTGAAGTGTGCTGTAAATGCTTCAGGAGATGGGCTCATGAGTTCAAGTGCCTTTTATCTTCTGTATGTTCATATTCGGTTCTAATTACCGTTTTACTTCATTTCAACAAGTAGGTGTCATTTCTTTTACTAATCATGAAGAAACAGGTTGACTAGTAGTTACTGCAACTATTGAAACAAACGCGTTGCCGGTTTATCTCTGAAAACAACTTTCTCCTTTTTGGTGCAAGCTTTTCTCATTTTTTAGACTTAAATTGAACACGGTTTTGCTTAGGTTTTTCCTTTCTTTTCCAGTTGAGTGCTTTCACTTGGGAGGTTACTTTGATGGTGATTTATTTATGTGTATAATTTGAACCATTGTTCGCTAAATCGCCCGATCTAACTGCTAACCGCCCAGTTAGATCGGAACCAGCCAGCGGTTGGTTCCGATTTTAGGCGGTTAGGGTGATCAATCGGTATTTTAAAAAAAAAAATCAAAAAAATATATATAAATTCTCAAAAATAAGGAATTTGATTTGTAATGCATTTTTAAATATTCTTTACATTATGGTAAAGATTAAAAATTCTTTTGGTCATTATTACTCACTTTTATGTTTTCACATCTTTTTTAGAAAATTTTAAAAATAGCCCTTGGAAAATATAAAATGGGTTGAAATCCATTTTTTTCATTAATTTTCAACTTCATTTGAATGTGTTTTATTTTTAATCATTCTTTATATGCTTTTCATATTTTAGTGATTTTTTTGTATTTTTTTATTTTTTTCAACACTTTTTTGACCGCTCGGGACTTGCCTGGTTAGAGCGGTTGAATCAGCCGGTTTACCGGTTAGGTCGGTTAAACCGCTTCCAAGCCCATGTCCGGTTAACCGTTCTGGTTCGATTTTGCAAACACTGATTCGAATAGAAGATTTGTTTCATGCTTGTTTTTTTTGATTGATGATGTGGAATTATTTAACAGTGCTGTCGTGGACCCTGGGATCTCCCATTTTGTACAGTTTTAATTTCCTCAGTTCAAGTGGGATCATTTTTGCTCTTTGAGTTGATAATAACTTTTTTCTCCAAAAGAAATACCTTTGTTAAAATTAATACTTCTACTTGGTGAGGCTCAGGAGATGCTGGAGTTGCCTTTGGGCCCATCCTCAAAGTTTGTGACTGGAGGTGTTGGAAAGGTTCCAAAAAAATATGGGCAGTCTAGGCTTAGGGCATGAAAAATGCTCCCCCTCCTCTCCTTCCTTTGGTGGGAGAGAGAGAGAATAGTTTTCTTAAACATGCCCCACATTTTTTGTTTTTATTTTATACTTTATGTACTAGCCTATATGCACAAAAAAAGGAATCAAGGATACAAAAAAGGCAAAAGAAGCTCGTTGGAAATAGCAGGGTCGATCTTCCTAAAGAAATTTCAATCAGTTCTAGTTCCAGAAATTTGTGATTCAGGCTAGGCAATTGAGCCAATACCATTTGGACTAAATTTACTCTCTTTCTGGCTGAGTTTTGGGCTTTGCTTTGTGCTGACTGCTAAGATGGTTTGTCTCTAGTCCAACCTGTTGACTGGCTGGTCTGGCATGGTCTAGACATTGATATCATGAAAATATTGCAGAGTAAGAAGCTCAGATATATACTGTGAATCTGTGGTAATGTTATCACTGGCAGCTTATTAATGTTGATTCCATATTCCATAATTTAAGGTGTCTGCAGTAAAAGTCGTGACAAATTTGGTAGAATAGCATATCTCAGATCTAGGTTATTGTTATTTGTATGTGATACTTGTAGGATGACAAAGTGTTTTATCACTTGAAGAATATAGATTGATCACTTAAGGTTCCTGCTTTTCTTTTAACTCGTAAAAAAAAAGAAAAGAAAAGAAAAGAAAAGAAAAACAACTCCTATCTCTGTGTGCGGCACATTCATCATCTTTCCTTTGCAGGAAATTCTACAAGTACAATGTTCTCATTGTTTTGCACAACTTTACCAAGTTTACAATAGCCTATCAAATAAAACTAAAATTTGTCATCCTTTAGAAGGCTACCTTCTTTCAATGGCATTGTTGTTATGAATAGTTGGGCCTGGATTGAAAGGTTCTGTAACTTTTCTCACTGTCATAGCTGGTCTTCCTTTATTTCTCAACATTGCCGTTTTAATGATCCTTCTACCTGTGTTCCTTATACTTCTTATTTCTGTCATTGATAAGTTTGACTATAGTTGTTTGATAAGTTGCATTTCTTTAGTTATTAGTTACATTCTGCATGGAAAATTTTATAGTGCATATTTCCTTGTCCGTGGTTCATTCTGTCTTACAGCTAAATTGTAACTCATAACTGTCACAATCTTGTATCTCATGCTTTTTGATAGTCATACTTCTTGGTTATTGTTGTACAAATGATACCTTTTTGTGTTGTGTAACGCCCCTTTGCTTTATTTTATTTCCCAAGAAAAATCGCCTTTTTGTAAATTCTCTTTTTTTTTGAGAATGTTCACTATATTTACTTGTTTGTAACTTTCTCCAGGTGTGTGCATATGAAAGCATGCAAGTTGGTCTGTACCGACTTAAACGCCTGGGTATTAGCAAACTCACACACCCTAATGGCCTCTCTTCGGCTATGAACCAACTTCCTGACGAAGCCATTGCTCTGGCTGCTGCTTCACATATAGAGAGGGAACTGCAAGTTACTTCATGGAATTTAAGCAGCAATTTCGTTTCATGTACAATGCAGGTAAGGTGGAGACTGCATTGCTTGCTATTGTCCTATGGTTAAGCATTATGAGACGTGGTTCTATAGTTCTCTCTTTGTTCTCTTTTTTTTCCTGAAAGGTTGGTCCTATAGTTAAATTTTTTGAGCACATATATGTTCATTGTGTAAAACTTTACCAACTCTTGTCATGAATCGTGAACCTATTAGCATAATTGCAGAACATAATTCATGTGACCCCAAATAGTTTGGATAGGGCATAGATGATGGTGATGATGATGATGATGATGAAGATGATATGTTCATTGTGTTTAATGATTTGGAAAATTTAATCAACTCCTGGCAAATAGGTTGTCTTTTGGGGTCTTTGTGTCCCAGAAATATTTGGTCCATGTGATCTAACTTTAGCTAAGAAAGGAACCTACTGAATGTATGTGTGATCCATCTGAGCTTACTTCTCTTATGTGTTGTCCATAATGAACACTCTAAAAATATGATAGTTTTATGGAACTAATATACAATAATAATGAGGCATGCTTGGTCTAACTGCTGAATGGGGTTTGATTAGTTTTGCCTGATTATTGTTGTTGTTGCTGCTGCTGCTGTTGTTGTTGTTGTTGTTGTTATTACTATTAGTATTGCTACTACTAGCTGTAGAATGCGCATTGCACATTTGAACCTTTGGCTTTTTTCATATGTAAAAAGGATACAGTGTTAAAAACTGATTGTCGATAAAAGAGATTCATGTTCATTTTGTTTTTTTCAAAGCAGTGTTACCTAGACACTTATCCTAGGGGTTGGTGTCACATGTCGACACGCATAGACCCGAATTTGATATAGTAGCCATATGTATGTTATTTTTTTAAAATCTTAGTATGTATCTGCACTTTATATTATAGTGTTGCCTATTTTTTAACAAAAGCCACTGTAAATTGTTGGTGTTAGACTGTTCTCTTTTATCTCATAAGGCCACCATATCAAGTCCCAAGGATTACATTAGTGCCTTTCTGAAAAGCCTTTTAAGTCAAATCCCTAAAACATCACTCATCATATGTGTGCCCTTTTTTTTTTTCTTTTTTAAGTTTTAAAGCACAAGCAACATCAAGATTGAACCCTTGATGCATTGTGGATAAATGGTAAGATCCACTGTCAAGCAAAGCCAAAATAGATGCACATTAGTGGTAAATAGTTAATTTGAATTAATAGTTATTTGTTCGAGAAAAAACATCATCAGTATCATCATCCAAGCCTTATCTCAATTATTTGGGGTATGCTGTATGAATCATGTTCCTCCATTCAAGGGTCATACCCTCAATAAGACCAAAAGTTTCCATATCCTTTCTCACTACTTTTATCCATGTCCTTTTGGGCCTTCTTCTTTTCCTTTTTAGAGCCTACCACTTGAACCAAATCACAACTTCTAATCGGCGTTGTATTAGATCTACATTGCACATGGCTAGCCCATGTAAGTCTACTATCCCTCATCTTATCGCCTATTGAAGCCACACCTAAGTTATCTCTTATGTATTTATTTTGAATTCTATTCTTTCTTGTTTTTGCACTCATCCATCTCAATACTTAATAAAATAATGCCTTAATGGAAATGACTAACTTAATAAAAATTGGCTTAATGGAAACTTTTAAAGAATCATTTTAAAAATATAATGTAGAAACAATTACCTTTTTTGCCTTTCATACATAAAATAAATTTATAGTTTGAAGTTCGATATTTAGTATATTAATTTTATCTATTGTACATATAGTATGTGTGTGTGTGTGTGTGTTTTTGTGTAGACGTGTCGGGGCTGTCTTGGGTTTCTAGGCTCAAGTACTAGACTCTCAAGACACGTACTAGACATGATACCCGTGTCTGTATCCATGTACCTGTAACACTTATTCAAACTCCTGCATTGTATTAAAAATGCAACAAAGGTTTTTCATAAACTCTCTTAGCATGTGCTCTCCATGTACACTGAAGAAGTAGAAACACGTGAAACAGGGTTGGAAACCGCCCTGGAGATCACCCCCTGAAAGAAAATGGAGTTGGAGTACTGGACTATCCCTTCTTCCTGCTGTACTTTAATTCAAATTCCAGCAAAATGTGGCTAAATTAGCCTTACATAACATTTTATTTTTTTCTCTCGTAAAACCCTACGCAATTTGTAATACCAGCTATTAGGTTTAAACCCCATCTTTTTAGTCTATTAGTTTGTATTACCAGCTATTGGATAAACAAACGACAAAAGTCGTAAAATGATTCTACGACTTAGTGATTCCTAAAAAGACGAAATCAGTACTGCTTATTACAAATAAGCCTCCTGATTAGCTCCCTTTACTAGGATAGGCCAAAGAATTTTTGGGACTCATTTATGGGCCACTTTCTTCCTCTTCTACTGCTTTTTCTCTTTCTAATCTCATCAGCTACTGCTCCTACATCAAGCTCCATTTGGGATGCTCGCCATTTGCCCTAAATGCCATTTGCCCTAAATGTTGAGTTCTCCAAAACAATGGAGCAGGGTTAAGGGGAGAAAACCCTTTATAAAACAAAGCACAGGCTCGCTGAGATTTGTGGGGTTGGGGGAAGGGCAAATGACTTTTCACGTATCTCTCTCTCTCTCTTCACTACGCTGAGTTCCTAGCATTGTGAGTCTCTGTTTATATTAAAGTGGGGCTCTCTCTTTCTTTATTTTTCTCTCTCTTTAATCTCTGTTTATAAAAAGGAGTCTCTCTCTGGTAAGGGCTCATTGTCGTTGTGACTTACAAAATGGCCGTGGACAACAACATAGGAGTTTCAGGATTGGGAGAGGATTTTTTAATCTGAATTTGATTGCCAGAAAACCACTGCATCCCCTGAAAATCGAAGGTATCTATCACTCATTGACTCTTGGAAGGAATGATTAGATCCGATTGTTTCTTATTCTACACTATGCACTTAACAAAACCAACACTAATGAAGAAATTGGATTTTGGATGAGTTGGGTTCGAGTTATGATGATCCTTGTTTGAGTCTGGTTATGGGGGTTGGAATGTTCTCAGCTATGGCTTGATGAGAAGCCTTGGATATTGATCGTTTAATGGAAATCACTGGCAGATTCATGGAATCATTTGGAGGAAAGTGGTGCAAATTCAGTTTGCCTATTGAGGCCTGAAGATGGTTTGGGTTGAAGCTTTAACCCAACGGAAATTGGACCAGATTAAGCAGTGTTCCAAATAATAGTGGATTAGATTCAGGCTTTGTAATTGTTAAGAGAGGAAAAAAAAGGTCTGAGTTCTGTCACCTGTGGGTCAGAGTGCAGGACAATTGGAGAAATGCACCGGCATCTGCAATTGAGAATGTTTCAAGAAATGGGGTGGCGAGAGGAAAGGCCATGGTGGAATTATCCATTAATATTCCTTAAAGATTTCAGTTTCTAGGTTAGTCCATTGGTGTATCTCTGTAACTGGTGCTGTCATGGGGTTCATGGGAAAGGAGAGAGAGGATAGGGGGTTTCAGGGAGAGGGAGAGAATGGTGAAGGAGTTTCATGAAAGTCAAAGGCTGTATTTGATTCTTTAAAGTTTAAAGGATAAGTTTGAAAGTACAGAGTTTATCCAACCCAATTGCGGAACCTATGAATTCTGCTGTTGACCAATAAGTGTTGCACAAACCAACTCGTGCCTTATTATGTATAGAAGATAGAATTATTATTATTAGTATTAGTATTAGTCCTATTATTATTCCTTATTCAAAATATGAATATTGGAGACTTGCTGGACAATGGATTGCCAAAATTTAATTATTAATCATTCATGTCATGTATATTGCATAACACCATCATTTGTTTGATTTTTCTTTTGTTTGGGTGCTTATACTGTGGTCCCTAAAGACCAAGTTATACGTTGGTTCCACAGCCATCATGCCTGGATGCCGCAATTTTATGACCGGATTTTTTAATTAATTTTAATTGCCCTTGTGATCAATTTTTTTAAAAAAGAAAATGATTTTGAGCTCAAATTCCTCAGAATTAACTCCATCAAACTGTCAATGTAGATCCGTCTTGGAGGGACCATGCTTTGAGGCAGTTTTGAACCTCTGAATCGCCCCTTTTTTTAATTTTGCATTACATGATAGTGAGCTAAAGATGATTTGACAGATTTGATATCCAATAACTCCTCCCTAGTTACACGTGGGAGCAAATGTATAATTGGGTCCTGCACGACCACTTAATTTTTTCGCCTTGTTATCTGGGGTACTTAACGGGGGTCTAGTTCATTATAAGCTGCAGAAACACAGTAGTTAGCATAGGTATCACCATTATGGGTGATTTGATTTCATTACCTTACCCTTCATTTTTTTTTTTTTTTTTTGAAATCAATGGTAATGATTATACATTGGTTTCAAATTTTCCCATGTATCTAGGGAGTTGTATAAAATGTCAGATTCAATGGCTAAATTAGGGTTTATAAGGCAGGCCTTTTGTTATGGAACTTTTTACCATCTTACTTGTTTTTCTCATAGTTATTTATTTATTTTACATTATCCCTTGCAATTGGTAATTTATCAGAAATAGCAAGCAAACTAATATTTGAGATGTTACTGAATTAAGAGTCAAAATTTTATATTGGCTGCCTACGTAACACAACCCAACCTTTTTACCTGGGCATGGGACGGGTTAAGGGAAAGTTTAAGGTCATCACCCTTCTTAGATCAGCAAGGGTCAATATTGAGCCCGTACCGCTTTGTCTTAGTTATGGACGACTTAACTAGGCACCTACAGGATGAGGTATTGTGGTGCATGTTGTTTGCATATGACATAGTTTTGATCGATGAAACCCGAAACAACGTCAACACAAAGTTAGAACTTTGTAGGGATGCTCTAGAATCCAAAGGTTTTAAAATTAGCCGGACTAAAACAGAGTATATGGAATGCAAGTTTAGTAATAATAGGAGTAGAGATGAGGACGTAGTTAAGATTGATATCTATGAAGTACAAAAAAGATTGCACTTTTGATATCTTGGGTCGATGATCTAAGAAAATGGAGATTTTGAGGAAGCTGTCACACACAGAATTAGAGCTGGGTGGACGCCGTGGAGATGTGCAACTTGAATTTTATGTAATCAGCGCATACCAATGAAGCTGAAAGGCAAGTTCTATAGGACAGCTGTGACACCAGCTTTGCATGGCAGAATGTTGGGTAGACAAAAAACAATATACCCATAGAATGAGTGTTGTGGAGATGAGGATGTTGAGATGGATGAGTAGAAAGACAAAAAAGGATAGATTCGAAATGAATCCATTCGGGAGAATTTAGGTGTGGCACCAATAGGCGATAAGATGAGAGAGAGTAGACTTAGGTGGGTTGGCCATGTGTGGCTCCGACCAAGCACAACACCTATTAGGAGGTGCGAGTTAGTTCAAGTAGAAGGACGGAAAAAGGCAAGGGGTAGGTCCAAAAAGATGTGGTTGGAAGTAGTCCGAAAAGATATGGGGACTTATAGCCTCAATTATGGCCTTTAATAGAGCAGAATGACGGATCAGGATTCGTGTAGCCAACCCCAATTAATTGGGAAGAGGCTATGGTGATGATGACTAAATTAACAATCGGATGAATGTTAGGTTTCTGACAAGAAAATTTTGTTCTTATTTATCATATTCATATATTTGATGGCCAATCTGTATTTTTAGGATAAAAATTGATTTTGCAACACTATAAAGAAAATATTGAATGGCAATAATTTGTCAATTGGTTTACATCTTACAAATAATTATACCACGATTTGTGTTGACGTAAAATGCCATATGAGGTGACTTCTTGGAAATTTAATTTGCTAGAATTAAAGACTCAAAGAAGATGGCAGAAACATGGTGTTACCTCTAAGTCATCATAGGGCTAACCGGATTAAGGTTTTTGTATATGGTCTCTATGTGTGCATTTGGATCATGTTCTTTCCGTTTAAGCCTGTAATCTACTAAATCTGACAAGGGGATACTGAAATGCCTCTCTCTATTTCTTGATTGAGTTGTTATGTCTCCTTGGTTGTATTTGAGCTTAGAGCCAAACCTCGTAAAGACATTTTATAGTGGCCGAATTTACCTTCAGGAAGCAATCAGGGATTATTCATTGCATTTGTGTTGGTGCTGTTTGAGAGTGTAAATTGGTGTTGTAGATGTTGTACATGAATATTTTAAGAATGGTTTTATTTAAATGTACTTGGCACCTTACTAGTCTTGTTTGTCATATCGTTTGCCCCTTGGTTCATTTGTTCACATACTTCTGTTGTACTTTCCTAATGACAAGAATTGTCTCTGAGACCTAGTAATTTATGCCCCAGTATTCATGAAATACAGATTTGGTGCTATTTGCACAATCAATGCATTTTGTGATCAGTACTAATTTGGATGTTCTTACTCCTCAATCATGACTCATTGATGTGTGAAGGTATGTGTGTGCTGTCAGGAGGCCTCTTTGGGTTTCACGAGGAGTCAAATCTACATTAGAGGATAGGTTCTAGGATTCTGATATGGCTGGAAATCTTTCTTTTAGTCGCCCAAAAGTTATTCAAGAGGAGTGTTTTCAGCCATAGATCAGTCTGAAAATAATTAAATTTCCTTGAAACTTCTACCATATCTGTGAGGTTCAATGTTTACTTGAGATTTCTTGCAAGCCTTTCTCATCAACCATTTTATTCACATTTTTGAAAATTGTCATTGATTTTGGTCCACATTGAGTCTCAGTTCTCACCTATTAATGATTGATCAGATACGTCAATTTTTGGTATTTTTGTTTTTGGGACTGTTCATGAATCAGAAATTTGATGCCCTTGCTTTACTTGAAAAGTTTTAGTTCCCAATTACAGTGTCTGGCTTGCAGGATGAACATATTGCAATTAAGATGAGGAGTACAGTTCAATTATTACTTGAGATTCCTTGTCTTAATGTTACAAAATGGGGGTGTCAAAATTTCTGACACCCCCATTATGTTTTCTGTGTTGTATTTTCTTCCACAGTGTGTATAGGGAAGTGAATGTTGTGATGGATGTACCAGCTAATGAATGTGCTCTTTATATTTTATTGGTGGAGGGTAGTTTCGGTCATTAAGATGCCTTGACTCTTGAGATCTATTTGAACAACTTCACATGAATTTTGTAATGTCTGATTTTTGTAAAATTGTTTCTTTATGATAAAGAAGGTTGACAAATGCCATGAGGTTATATCAGGGGAAGTTTTTTGAATATTCCCTTTGGATAGTTGGAATCATGAGGTTGTGTCAACTGAAACATTCCAGGGGGCTGGGGCGCATCTTTGGAGAATTGCTAAGTATTGCTTCCCAAGTGGAAATCTACACAAGGGAAAATCATTTTGGCTTTATATGAGCACCTCCTTGGGAATTGTTATTATTCATTTAAGTGTGGAATGGAAGTACACGTTTAAGTCATGAGCGTAACTAATATATGTCTTTGAACGATAAATTTTTTTCTTAACTCAATAAATCCGGACCAATCAAAAAGGAAACTTCTACCCTTGCACTTCGGCTTGGTGCAACTTCTCTTAAGATTTTTTAGCATAAGTTATTGATCAGAGGTGCCCCTAGTTATTAAGTAAAAAACGTGTAGCCTCTTTTCAAGCCATTTGAATAACTTCTCCAAGCTTTTCAAAGATAGAATATTTTTTTTAATAAATCAAAGAAAAAATGGTTCTCTTTGCTTTCTATTTATGGCAGATATTCTATTTTAAGATATTGATTGTTTAAAATTACTGGATGAAGATGATCGATTTAAGTTACTGATGATGCCTTGAAGCACTGCTTGTGATCTTTTTTTGTTTTTGGGTGTTTGCGATTTAGTTTTAGCCTTTTTGAGATCCGAAATGACTTCCCTATTGTTAGTTGTATGTCCCTTGGTCTTGGTCTTCTTTAGGTCTACTCCAAGATTTAGACAAAGTTTGTTTACCCTGATGACAGCCAGTGGTGCTGACTGTTATGATAACATTATAATCATGACAGCAGCTATTTTAAGATGAGGGCCAATGCTGCTACCATACTGAACGCTACGGGTGAAAATAACTTTTTTTTCTGACACTAATATATTATATTCGCATTGCCACTTCTCCTTCTTCATATATAGGTAATGTATTTCTCTATTGGTTTGCCTCATCAAAACATTTATTTATGTACCATCTTTGCCTCCAATCCTGGCAGCTATGCTCTACATATTATTTATGCTGCAGTTTGGCTTATCACATTGCTTGATATGCTTCTGTATCGAGTGGAAAGATGGTTATAATATCTTAAGGTAGGATGCTCTTATTGTTTTTCAATTGTGATGAAAATTTGGCATATTACTACATCCAAGCCCCCAACCTCAACCGCAAAATGGTAATGCTTAATAATAAAACTAAGGGCTATTTGAGTTGGTATTTGTTTGATTTGTGGGTCTTCTAAGTTGAATCTGTTTTTCTACTTTCTGGCCAATAAAGTCCTGCATAGTTACTTTCTGGAGTTATAATTTCCAGGATCGAGAAAATATTGAACGGTTAGAAATAACGGGTGTTGGAGATCCTTCTGGTAGAGGCTTAGGGTTCAGTTATGTTCGTGTTGCTCCTAAGGCGCCGATCTCCAGTAACGTAGTGAAGAAAAAGGTAACTGTTGCTCGAGGAGGCTCCACAGTCACTGGAACAGATGCTGACCTTCGTAGATTGAGCATGGAAGCAGCACGAGAGGTATGTCTTCATCTTTGACTTATGATATCGCCATGCATATTGCATGCAAAAATTTGTTGGTGGTGAAAATCCTAGAATGATTTTTAAAGATGTCTTAGGTACTATATCTTGTATATCAGGGCTGATAGACTTACTTGACGTGATTAGATTGTGTGCACCAACTTGAGGGAGACCTAAACGAGATTCAACATAATTTTTTAATAGTGGCTTAAATGGGATTTTTTTTTTTGGTAAAGATGCAGTACATCGGAGACATTCCTGTCCTTAATTTCATGCCTTTTCCCTTTTTGGACTTGTTTAGATAACGCGAGTTTTAGTCCTTTTTATTGCTAATTTAGGGAATTTTAATTTATAAAAAAATAAGGGAATTTTAGTCCTTTATAAGTGCTTATGCCTCACTTAGATGTCTAACACGCTAAGGCAAGAAAAGGTATCCATGTGCAGCTTATCTTGTTTTAGAATTTAGATGCTTCTTTTCCTCTAGATTGAACTCACATCCAAGATTTGATTCATTTGATCTAAAGTTCATAGCGTAAAAAATTTTGTTGGTGTTAAAATTATCACCTTGAATACTTGAGAGAGAAAAACAAGTTGTGGCACGCATAGAAAGGGATGGAGAGGAAGCCAAAGAAGAGTGATGTGACCAATTCATTCATGAGCGAGGAGCTGCACTCAAAGATATTATTTATATTGTGACTAGCCCTAAATAATGGAGAGTTTGATAATGGCACAAATAAATTCAGAAATTACATAATTTTCTTTACAATGAACATGAACTACATATATCACACCTGACCAATATGACTAACACTTCCTCAAAATTTATACATCGTGTTTTAACATGACAACTTTGTCCTTCAAATACTGATGTCAGTCTTTGATAACCCTTTTGTAAATATGTCTCCTATTTGATCTTCTAGACCCACATGCGTTGTTTCAATTTCTTCACCTTCAATCCTTTCCTGCACAAAATGATAATCAATCTGAATATGTTTAGATCTATCATGAAATATTGGATTTTCTATCAAGGCTAAGGCACTCTTGTTATCACTAAACATTCTGGATCTTCGAGTTTTCATGCCCAATGTGGTCGTCATACTGCAGATCCATAACATCTTCGATACATCCTAATGCCCGACATTCAGCTTCAGTACTTGATCTGGCTACTATCTTCTGTTTTTTACTTCATGTTATCAAGTTTTTCCCTAGATAAACATAAAATCCAGAGATTGGTCTTCTTGAATGGGTCACTAGCCCAATCAGTGTCTGAATATCCCATTGTTGATTCAATTTCCAAATTCTTCACATCATTTTTATGTTAGACTATACTATGACTCACTGTTGCTTTAATGTATTTGATTATTCTCTTTAAGGCTTCCATATGAGATGAATTGGGCATATGCATAAATTGACCTACCTCATTCACTGCATAGGATATATCTGCTTGTGCTAGTGTGAGATATTGTAAAGCCTCTGCAGTACTCCTGTTCTTCACTTCTTCTCTTAGCAATTCTGCTTCATCCCTGCTTTAGCATTTTTTTCATGGCAACAGGTATTCCAGAAGGCCTACCAGTTCACGATATTAATTTTTCATAACAAATTTAAGGCATACTTCTGTTGAGATAGCTTAATTTATTAGCATCTCAATCTGCTTCTATCCCAAGGAAGTACCGTAGTTAAAATCTTTCATTTAGAATTTATTGTCAAGAAATGTCTTCACATTAGTAATCAACACATATGAACTAACTATAATTATAATATCATCTACATATAGAAACACAATTATAATGTCAGGTTCACTTCTTTGGATGAACAGGGACCGGTCAACTGTTCCTCTCTTAAATCCTCGCTCCTTTAATACATTTTGAAAACTTTGAAACCGTGTTCTTGATGCTTGCTTCAATCCATAAATGGAGCCATTCAATTTACGTACATACTCTCTTGATTCAATGTTCACTAAATCCCGGTGGTTGCTCCATGTAGGCCTCCTCTCTTAACTCCCCATGAAGAAATGTGTTTTTTACATTCAACTTGTAAAGTGGCCAATCATAAGCAAGCGTAATAATGAAATAATGCTTACTAACACAATCTTAACAACTGGACTGAAGGTTTCTTCATAGTTGAATCCTTGTTATTGATTAAATCCTTTAGCTACCAGCCTTGCTTTGAATATCGATGTATTTCGATCTGATTTCACCTTATATATCCATTTGCAACCTACCGCATTTTTATCTTCTGGTCTTCTAACAATCTCCCATGTATTATTGACGTGCATGACCTGGATTTCTTCTTGCATAGCTTTAATCCATCTCTTATCCTTTGTGGCCACTAAGTGTGTTGATAGTTCTCTAATCTTAAGGATCTCACTGAAGAATACTTGATATTCATGAGTGACACCTCCATAGCTTACCCATCTATCTATAGGATGTTTAATGTGAGTCAACCTCCTCAATGTAGCAGCCTCAGTATTTTCATCAACTGGAGTGCTTACCATGGTCTGATTTCATATGCTCTATGGCCTGGTTTGTGTGTTCATTTGCTGGACTTTTTTATGTGCTTGCTTGCTTCGCCACCTTGCTCTTCTTTTGTACACAATTGATGTGTCCCATTTTGTGTTGAGCCCCTACTTTGGCCTGTATGCTGGTCATCCTCGGAAAATAGCATAAAGTCTTCTCTGGATTACAAGGAGCAATATCTTCATCATCTCCACCTTTCTCAACATTGTCTTCAACAAATTTGTCCATCTGATGTTGACTAATGAAGAATGGTTGACCATCATTCTTGTGTTCCTCTCTTTCATTTGAACACGGACTTGCACCTACAGTATCGTTATTTGGAGGAGCAAATATTTTCAACTCATTAAATGTTACATGTCTAAAAATAAAATCAGCATATTGAAGATGAAAGATAACTGGACCCTGAAAGAACTTGGACACCTCTTGAATGATTATTGTCTTTCGGTAACTCCCTTTATCATTAAGCAAAAACTCCTCTACTATAGTGAAAAAAAGAGATGATAGGTGATCATGTTGCCAAATGGTCCTCGAAGCTTTAAAGTAGAAATTCTTTTCTTTCGCAGACAGTAACGTCTATAGCCTTTATAATCATCTGAATATCCCACTTACACATTTCTGCCTTAGGATCAAGTTTATTCCTTCGACTAGTATCGATATGGATATAACGCCAACATCCAAAACTCCCTCAAGCTAGAATTGTCAGGAGTTCTTCCCAGTAGTGTGATATGGAAATTTCCCATCCAATACATCAGTTGGAAGTCTATTTATCAAGAAGATGGATTTGTGGAAAGCTTTACTCCATAAAAATTCTAGAACTCCATTACAAAACATACGAGATAATCCAACTTCATTTACATGTCAATGTTTCCTTTCCACACTCCATTTTTCTATGGAGTATACGGACAGGAAATTTATTGCTCTGCCCCGATGTCCCTTAGGTAAATGAAATGAGTACTCTCGCCTCCATCACTAAGAAAGTACAAAAGTTTCTTACAGAAGTGATTTCAAACAAACAACTTGAAATTTCTAAATGTCTCAAACACATGAAATTTTTTATTAAGGAAGAAAATCCATATATCACGTAATAGAGGGAATTAGAAGGAGATGAGTTGGCGCTAGACCCCGTACATCAGAATGCACTAACTCAAGCAGAGACAAAGCTCTTTTATTAGTGTACACAAAAATCAACTTGACATGTTTACCCAGTTGACAACCATGACAAATAAGTTCACGAAGACGATCAATATCCAGATGAAATAGGCCCTTGTTTATACAACTTATTTAAAGATTCAATACTACAATGAACAATCTATAATGCCATACATTAGCATCCTTATTGACATGACAAGACAACCAGATTTTGGAACTTCTTTGACTCATCGTCGATTGTGTACCACACTCCGTGTCATGAACTGCTAGCGAATGTGATCCCCAATAGTTGGTCCTTAATAAAACACAATCGGGAGTAAATACAAAGAAGAAATGATTTTCTCTTGCTAGTTGTGACACAAAAATAAGTTTATGTTTGCAATTATGGATGAGGAAAACATTTTGAGATTCATAGGACCTTTAGAAGACTGAATTGTGACATCCCAACTTGTGTGTTATGCTGAGAGGACCCATCTCCAATTACAGTAGATCCACTACCTGAGTAAGGGACAAGCCAGGAGAACAAACATGAATTTCCTGTCAAGTAGTTGATTACTCCACTATCAACAATCCATGTAGCTTCAGATGGAGATGTAATGGCGAGATTCTCCATAGATGTATTCAACATAGCTAGTTGTTCTCCAATATTATGAACTCCACCTTCATTATTTACAACCTTATCAACAGGAATATTTATAGCAACATGCTGGTTGCTCCTATATTGTGGTCCTGGGTATCCATGGTATCTATTATAACAGTTAGCAGCCGAGTGATTATGCCTTCCATATATCTAACACGTTATACCACTATTCCCTTGACTGGAACTCCCATTATTATTATTGTTAGGTGGAGCTAGGATGCCATGCTCAACAGTATTTCCATAATATCCACCTCTACCATGATACCACATCCTTTCTCATTTCTTCATCTGCCTTTACCTCCACGAAAACCATTTCTAGGAGATGAATAATTGTTGTTGGTAAGCAAAACATCATAAGAATTGACACTTGATTGTTGTCCCGTCCTTTTATTAGGGAACATAGCTTCATACTGAAGAAGTAGAAGAAGTAATTCTGCAAAAGTGGGATACAGTGGTTTAGAGGTAACACTGGTGACAAAAGTCTCATATTAATCTCCAAGACCCTTCAAGGCAATGTAAATTTTGTCAGTATCACTAACATAATACTGAATCATAGCAAGCTAATCATATATTGTTAGGATTTTGGCTAGTTACTCAGATCGAGACTTATCTTCCTTTTTGCAATTCGAAGGTTCCTGGCTCAAGTGCATTAGACTAGCCTGGGACTGCTGAGCATATGGGTTTTGTAATTCTTTCCATGATTCTTTAGCAGTGTCTCTATCGACCACTTCTGCTATTATATCATCGAACAACGTATAATTAATCTACCCAATTAATTATTGATCCTTGACAAGCCAATCATGATATTCAGGTTACAACTTTTTCACACTTTTTCTTTTGCACTCACTTCCTCTTTGGTGATGAACTGTGGTGGTACCTTGCATGATCCATTATGTGACCTATCAATCATAGGCTTCTGATGAACGAAAGCATAACTCCTTTCCATACAATGCAATTGGAAGAAGAAAGTTCAATGATAACTTTTGGGAAAGGAATATTGATGAATCCTCCTGAACAGCCACCTGAACCTGACCCTTTAATGGATTGGGGAGACTAGAAGATTCCATGGTATTAAATGAGTAGAAGGTAATGGAAAGAAGGTTTTTCTTTTTATCCCTTCTTTTGTTAAAAAAAAAAGAAAAGGAAATTTACTGTTCAAATTTGAACAATAACTAGGGTTTACTATTTACATGAATATTAACTAGGGTACTGTTCACATGAATAGTACTAGGGTTTGGTATTTACGTGAACAGTGACTAGGGTTTATTATTCACTCCAAGGTAAAAATTTAGGAAAAGTGATTTTGAGAAAATAAGAGATTTAGAACTTGAAGAGATTTTGATGGCAGAGTAAAGAGATGTAGGAGAGATTTTGATACCTTTGGTCAAACGGTCACACTAGTGTTTGGACCTTGCTCGGATACCATGTTAAAAAATATCACCTTGAATACTTAATATTGAAAAGCAAGTTGTGGCACAGGTAGAGAGGGATAGAGAGGAAGCCAAATAATGATCTGACCCCAAATTTAATCATGACTAAGGGGCTGCACTCAACAATATTATTTATATCGTTTCTAACCCCTTATTAATTAAGGGTTAGATGAGGGTAAAAATCATCATCATCATCGTCAGTCATCATCGTTAGAGCCTTTTCTTAACTAATTGGGGTCAGCTGCATGAATCCTGGTCTGCCATTTTGCTCTATTAAGGGTTACCATCATTGAGGCCATAAGTCCTCATATCTTTTTTCACTACTTCCAACCATGTCCTTTTGGACCTGCCCCTTGCCCTTTTAGAGCCTTCCACTTAAACAAACTCACACCTCCTGATAGGTGATGTACTAGGTTTGCGCAACACATGGTCAGCCCACCTAAGTCTACTTTCTCTCATCTTATCGCTTATTGGTGTCATGCCTAAATTCTTTCAAATGCTCTCATAAATTGTCCTTTACAATGAACATGAACTACAAGTCCTCATATCTTTTTTCACTACTTCCAACCATGTCCTTTTGGACCTGCCCCTTGCCCTTTTAGAGCCTTCCACTTAAACAAACTCACACCTCCTGATAGGTGATGTACTAGGTTTGCACAATACATGGCCAGCCCACCTAAGCCTACTTTCTCTCATCTTATCACTTATTGGTGCCACGCCTAAATTCTCCCGAATGTACTCATACATTGTCCTTTACAATGAACATGAACTACAAGTATAATAATAATTTACAGCAATATACATAATTACCCATTTTCCCCAAACCAATATAACCAATACTCAGAGATTGTGATATTTGAATATTTAGTAGCATATTCTTCTACTAATTCATTGTAAAATTCATTGGGTGAGCAGGCATCGACTTCAATGCCGACAGTACGAGTGTTTTAATATTTTGGTGTTTAGTTTTAGCTACTACCACGAATATGTCATACAGTTTTGTTGAATCGAAGAAACATTGACTGGAATGCAAACATTACAGATGTCTGGGCCTAGCTCATGTTCACCTGTCAACCTCCATCTTCGTTTGGGCTTCCACTTTAGCACCAGCTGAGAATCAAGGCCCCATCACTTATCCTGATAAGCATTTTGAATATGGTCAATATCTTATGCATGTGGGGAACTGTAATGGATGTGGGAATCCATCATACACAACCATTTCTCCTTCATTAGATCTCCCACTATCTTGTGAACCGGCAAGTAAGGATAGCAAAATATTAACAAGTCTTGTATAATGTAGGGAATCTCGACTAACTCTTCTTTTTAACAGCTTTCTTCTAGTTAGAAGTCAACGGTTCTTATAACTATTTTCTATTACTGTAATTTGACAAGGGCTTGGTGCATTCTCATGCATAAATATTGAAATTATCAAATGGCATGATGCATAACTATGATCTCTGCTTTGCAAATAGTTTTCCTACTATCTTTTTTGGGAATCTTTATTATGTCAGAAGCCCATGTGTCATTGTCTGCATTATTCCTCTTATTGTCCTATCTATATTTTTAAAAGGTACCCAATTTCAGGTGCTACTTAAGTTCAAAGTTCCTGAAGAACAGATTGAAAAGATGACTAGGTGGCATCGTATTGCCATGGTCCGGAAACTTTCAAGTGAGCAAGCTGCATCTGGTGTCAAAGTAGATGCTGCTACCCTCAACAAGTTTGCACGGGGCCAACGCATGTCATTTCTTCAGCTTCAGCAGCAAACTCGAGAAAAATGTCAAGAAATTTGGGATCGTCAGGTGCAAAGCTTATCCCAAGTAGAGGGTGAGGAGCCTGAGAGTGACTCTGAAGCAAATAGTGACCTAGATTCATTTGCTGGGGACCTTGAAAATTTACTCGATGCTGAAGAATGTGAGGAGGGAGATACAGGGTCAAAAAAAAATAAATTTGAAAGTGTCAAGGGACTTGGAATGCGTCGACGTCCTTCCCAAGCTCATGCAGAGGAAGAAATAGAGGATGAAGCTGCTGAAGCTGCAGAACTTTGCAGGATGCTTATGGATGGTACGGCATTTTGGTCTTTCATGAACAAAGGAATAGCTTTTCTAACAAATAATTGGGTAGTGAACCTCCATATATATGATGGTTTAATTTCAATGTTAAGAAAGATTTTGTGGGAATCTACTTAGTGGACAGGATGTGAAATAGGAAGATGTCATTTTCATTGCCTGTGTGGATTATGAGTTTTCATCTTACCCAGGATATGCAATTGTTAACTACCAAGAACAAACGGATATATGGAATTCTTCTTTGCTCAAGTTTTTGTGCTCTTGGTCTATCTTATTGATATGAATCTTTATTTTTTGAAATGAAAGGGCATATAAATTTTTACAAAAATGCATAAAATTGCATTTTTGTTAAATTTGTTTACAATTGTCAATATATTATCATTTCCACTATTTTAACATTTATGCTAAAGCGTGTTCTATTGACTAGAAAATATAGTGTTACCATTGATAATATTACATTACATTATTGCTAGTCAATTCAGTAATATATTTGTAAGAACATTCAAAATTTTATTTTACAAAATTTGCCTAATGAACTTCTGGATCTAATTAAAATAGAATTATGTGACAAAGTCATCTGGCTTGAAAAAAGCTGGTGACCATTTCAGAAAGTCTCAAAAACATTTTGTATTTTAGAAGTTGGTACTGGAGCAAAACAAACTTGACTCATACAAGCCTTCTTTAACTGAGAAACTGGATCATTAAGCATCTCGCCAGCCATTACTTTCTTTGATTACATTTTACCCATTCGGTATTATTTCGGCATTGCATTGTATCTTCTTGATTTGATATAATGTGTTATATTCCTTGATTTGATATAATGCGTTATATGTAAATAATTATGTGGAGTATTTGCCAGATGATGAGGTGGGCTGGAGGAAAAAGAAGAAGACAAAAGTGGCTGGAAAGGATGAAACAGCCCTTGGAATAATGGACTCGACAGTAGGTTATGTTGCTGGAAATGGAGACCATTTCAAAAAAGCTAAGAAGGTTGTTAAACGCATCATTCGCACCCCTCAACCAGATGGCACATTTACCTCTAAGGAGGTTGTCATCAATGACCCAAAGGAGGTAAAAGTTACTGAGCCTACAAACGCTTCATCTTTATATAGTTTGTATGTATTCTAACATGCTCCCAAAATGTTTCATGTGATCTATGCTATGACTGGATTTCTTATCTATTAAGTAGGATGGCTGGATTAGATGATGAAGAGCGAAATTACGGAGAATATGTCTCATGAGAAGCTTTCACATTGTTTTGGGTACAGGTCGAGAAACTTCTTGCTAAAAAAATCCTTCCTGGGAAAGGAATCATGGGGAATGAAAAGAATGAGGGTGCTCGCACCATATTACCACCAAAAAAAAGTAAAATTATTGGCGATGGAGTCAAGGTACCATTTTAAAAATTTTGTAGCCTTATTTGACATTTACTTGCCAATGTAATCTGTGCGGTCTATGTTTTATTTTTTTCCTATGCTTATTACAGTAAGTTGAACTAATTATATTCTTTATTGTGTTTTATGTTCACATTTTTTTTGAAACTTTTTATGTTAACAATTTTGTTGTCAGCCTTGAGAAGTTTTAGTAATGGCCCAGGAGATGCCCAATCCCCTCTCTGAGTCGGTTTACTTGAGAATTGAAGACTCAAGCTGCAGCTTTCCTATTTGACAAAAAATAAAATTAGAATGTCCAGAAAAGTGAAAATGGGAAATACAAAAAATAATCAGAACTATCAGAACGTACTACACAGAATTCATAGTATTAAAATTATCAGGTTTGATCACGTGTCATGAGTTTTTCCAGGCATTTGTAACATATTGAAATGGTCCCTTGCAAAATGTTCAAACAATAGGTAAATATGGCTACAGTAAAATTTGAACACTATAATTAAAAATCTATTGCTAAAGAATAGCAAATGGAAACAATCACCAAACAGTACGAGTGGGGCTATCGTCCTGAATTCTACTTTAGAACTTAAGAACAATATACAAATCCATTGTTTTTTCATGGGATAGGCAAGCGATTTGTCTACCTGGGAACATCAGAATTGTTGTTATCGACTATTTCTCTAATTTTATTAAGTAAATGCATACAATGAGACTATTTACTTTTGATACAAGGAGGTCACAATCACCATTGACCGTCGGATTTGAAATCGAGTGGTTGAGAACATGTTACATCTAATAGCTTAAAATGATTGTGACCCCTTGTACCCAAAATAAAAGGTTTCATAGTATACAATCCCTATTCCTAAATGTAAGTTAATGTTGCCTGATATGGATTCTCACCCCTGCAGTTGACCTTCATGTTTTTCAAACTTCTATATACATTGAAAGCATCTATGTGCATGAATATAAAGTTTTGCTTACCAGACAAAAGAAAAGAAAAAGATTGTTAGTTTCTCCACCACTACCATCTACCAAATATGTCTTCGTACCTTAATAAACATTTCAAGATGTATAGTACCAACTGCTTGCCAGGCCAAGTTTGGTCACATGGGGAGGAGCATGTCTTAGATTGCTGATGTGCAAATCATTAAGTTAATTTGATGAGACTTTGTCCTTGTTGTTTGTTGTTCTAGGTTTTCAAGGAAAAGAAACAGAACGAGAAGCCAGTTAGGGAAAGCTTCGTCTGCGGAGCTTGTGGTGAGGTGCGTCACTTGTTCCTGATGCATCCATTACTTCTTAAAATTGGAGTGATTTCTGAAGTGAATATTGGCCATTGTTAAAACAGTTGGGACATATGAGAACCAATAAGAGATGCCCTATGTATAAAGAAGAGCAAGAAATCCACATCCAACAACCAGTGCCAGAGATCAAACCAAGGTTAGCTACTTCTTTCGATGCCCCAAACCCTTCTCCCCATCCGAAGCTTGCGATGAAGAAGAAGCCACCTAAAAGCTCGGTCACAATGGCACCTATACAGATTACACAGACTCAAATTCAACAGAGTGAGCCCAGAATTGGGGAGCAATTGAGTGTTATTTCTCCTGCAAAATCTCTACCTTTGAAGTTCAAATGTGTCTCTTCTTCTGATATGGCTATTGAGAAGAGCATACTGCTCTCTCAAATCTCTGATGCAGAAACAGGGAAAAAAGATCAAACTAAGATCAATAAGATAAAACTCCCCATCAAAATGAAACCCGATGACCTCCAACCTGACACACCAAAAACCTCGGCTTCAACACCAACCTCAGTTGCAGGAGACCAACGCCCCAAAAAGATTATCATCAAGCAGCCAAAGGTGCACCCAAATGGTGATACAATCAAAAGACTAGTTGACATCGCAAGGGAAGAGGACCTGAGAAAGACCCAGAGAATGGTTGAGGATTCGAGAATGGAGAAACAGAGACTAGAGAGCAAGCGGCTGGCAGCAGCAGCTAGAGAGAGGGTCAGGGAGGATTGGAGATTATGGGAAGAGGAAGAGAAGAGGAGGGCTTTAGAGAGGGCCAAGGAAGATGGGAGGAGGCAGAGGATGGAAGGGGAGAGGTTGAGAGCTGAAAAGCGATTGCAAGAAGAGCAACAGAGAGTTGCCGATCAGCTTAGGAGGTATAGTGAGACAAAGCATGTGGGCAGAATTGATGGGAGAGGAGATAGGCAGAAAGTGAAAAAGAAAAAGAAAAAGAAGAAAGAAAAGGTGAAAGATGAGTTTGGAGAGGATTACAGGGGAAAAAGGAATGATAGAAGGATACCAGAGAGGGACAGGGCAGCAAAGAGGCGCCCTGTGCTTGATGCTGGGCGCTACGCCTCAGAGCATGGCCCCCAAACGAAGCGTCGACGTGGAGGAGAGGTACATTTTAATGTTTTTTTATGCTTGTGGATATTTGGAAGGCTGTTTATGTCGTCCTTTGTTTCCACCATCAATTTTATCGGGGTTAAGAAAATTGATGTTAAGGGAATCATGAAATGTTATATGCTTCCTGTATTATGTTTTTCTTTTCCAGAGAAGTAACAAACTTCCTGAACTATGTTGGTCTTATCCTTTCTTTTTCCATGTTTCCCCTAACTAATTATTTTTGAATGGCAAACATGAGGGAATTATGAAAATTTTGAAAAAAAATTATATGTACTTTTTATAACATTTTATGTACAAAATATCATCTGTTTCAAAATGGACAAACTTGTACAATTCTTTGGATGAAAAATTGGGTGTTTAGTGGAGCTCTGCTTGCAATTTTCATTTTCAAACAAGGAATTCCTTGTGTTAGTTGTGAAAAAATTAAGAGATTGCTGAGAAAGAATTAATAATACCCCCAAAGAAAATGAAACTGAGGTGCATCTTACACACAACATCCATTTATATGCATGTGCTTATGTAAATACATACATATAGGCAAATTCTGATCTTGACTACAAATTTCCTGTGGCCATCGACCTCTAATATTGTATACTTTGGCAGGTTGTCTTGTCGAACATTTTAGAGGGCGTCGTGGAAAGACTTAGAGAGAGATACGACATCTCGTATCTCTTCTTGAAACCAGTGTCGAAGAAAGATGCACCAGATTACCTAGACATAATTGATAACCCAATGGATCTCTCTACTATTAGAGAGAAAGTGAGGAAAATGGAGTATAAGACCAGAGAGGACTTCAGGCATGATGTATGGCAAATAGCTTATAATGCACATAAATATAATGATGGCCGGAATCCCGGTATTCCTCCTCTCGCAGATCAGTTATTGGAAATATGCGATTATTTGTTAGACGACGAGGATGTGGCCTTGACCGAAGCTGAATCAGGGATTGAGTTGAGAGATCATTGATGACGAAAGAGAAAAATTATAGAGTTTTGTCTCTTTGCTCTGCCACCAAGTAGGTCGTCAGAGCGCCATTGGGCGGAAATGTAAATTACAGGCCTTGTATATGAATGTGTTTATTAATGAGTAGTTTGGGTGATAAATCCCATTGTTTACTTATATTTGTTTATAATCTTATTTTTCTTTTCCTTTCCCTTTGGTGCTTTAATAGCAATCATAGTCTCTCTTACTTCTTAGCAATTATTTAGAATGTAATCTGATTGAAAAACGCATCAGATTGGGGAAAAGAAGCTCATAAGAAAATGAGAGATGGAGGAAAAATTAAGTAAAAAATATTGCAAAACATAATATTTGTGCTTATGAAATCGTCAGGAAAATTTCTCAACAGAAAAAGCAGACAGAAAAAGGTCTTGCATTTTTAAGGGCTGAGACATTAGTAGAAAGTGAAAGCTATACGGAAGAACTAGCATTGAAAAATTTAAAGAACAAAAGAAAAATATACAATGAGATCATTTATTTGTACAAGGTAATCATCTAATAAAAAATATTTTTAAAATAAATTGTTCAAAATATCCACAAAAATTTTTCAAGGGTATTTTGATCAATTTATTTTTTGTAAATTATTTTTTTGATATTTTTTTGATATTTTTTTATTTTTTAAAAATACACGTTTAAAATTTCAAGTTATTTGGATTTATAAAAAAAAAAATTAAAATTAAAATATAAAATAAAGCCGTGACGGTTAAATCGATCCAGATTGAATCTGGACGGTTGGGCTTATATGTTCATATGAGTTAGTGAGTTAATCTCATCATTTTTAAAATATATATATATAATTTACAACTAAAAATATATAGTTATATTTATTTAAATATTTATTTAATTAATATAGTATATATTAAATATTATTTATATAATAATACTATTTGGGTCGGGTCCACATAGATCCAGATCCATCCCGCAAGGTCCAATTCTTGGACCGATACCAGGACCAGGGTCGAGTATTACTTGTTGGGTTCCGCGTTGGGTCTGGATTCATTGCCACCTTTACATATCTCAACTAGGAGATCAACCATATTACATAACTATTCCAATTCATGGTCAGCTGTTTTTTAATGGCACTTCCTAAAGTTATAGTAAAAGTAATAAATCAACATATTTTGATAAAAAAAATTGCCATGAAATTAAACCTTGGAGCCTCTCAAATGGAGATCGTTGACCTAACTGGGACTCTACTTCCCTCTTAACATTTAAGAAAAATACGAGAAGATGGAAGAAATGGCAAAATACTTTACACATAAGTTCCTAATTCCTTGCAGTAAAATGCTGAGCAACAATCAGGAAGAATGCCATGCTACAAGGGGTTCTTCTTGACAAGGGATTCTTCTAGGTTAAACCCAAATTCCATGTTCCATAATTGGCATAGTGTAAAATAGAGTACCTCGCATGCTACATATCTAAGCATGTATGCGGATGAAAATATATTTTACAAAAAAAACAGGTCATCGAATTAGTGACGGATTTGGTCTAGTCAAAATTGGTCCAATTATCAATAAAATTGATTGGACGGGATTCTAAAAAAAATAAAAGAAAATAGAAATAAAAAAAATAGAGGTAGTTAAAGAATATAAAATATAGAAATTTTTTTCAAAGTGCCCAAAAGAGATGAATATGTTAGAACCATCCCAACTCAAGACCATGTGTTGTTTTATGATTATTTTGAGATTAAATCAAAAGAGGGTAAAATGTTAAATTGTTAAACACTTGTGGGTAATTTGATAATATATTAAAACTTTTCCCATTATTTACCCATTTGAACTAGTATGAACCGGCTGATCTGATCAGCTAAAATCAGTCAGATATTGATTTTTTACTTGATTTTTAGTAAATCTAATTTTAGATAACCTAGAGGAAAAAATTTAAAAAACATCAAAACCAGTATTTTTTTTATTATTACAATTTCTCAATTATTATATGATGATTTCTTTAGAGAAATTATCGTAAATATACCTTAATTTAAGCTTAATTTGAAAAAAAAAAAACCCAAACTTTTGTTTATCTCTTCTGTATCATTTTTCCTCATTTTCGGTTTTTTTTTTTTACCAAAATGACATTCACGGTAGTCGTATTACCGTAATACTTAGATAATTTTATATGGTACTTTTAGTACCGTAATACTGAGGGCATTTTATATGGTACTTTAAGTACCGTAAACTTACACTAACCATGATACGGCATTTTACGTATCGTAAACACTAACCCATTGTATATGGCACTTAAAATACCATAAACCTGTTTATGTTTGTCTCTTTCATCTTTAACTATTTTTATGTTTATCTATTTTCTCTCTCTCTCATTTTTTTTAATATTTATCTCTTCTTTCTCTCTCTAATTCTTTTTTATCTCTTATGTCTCTCTCTACAATCTCATCATTGTTTCCTTAGAGAGTAATCAAACACTGACTTCTGCTATGCAAAACAGAGGACATGATCTATCTAAGGAAACGATGATGAGATTGTAGAGAGATAAAGAAGAGATAAAAAAGAATTAGAGAGATAAAGAAGAGATAAATATTAAAAGGAATTATAGAGAGAAAGAAGAGATAAACCTAAAAAGAATTAGTAATGAAATAGATAAACATATTGAGAAAAGGATTTACGGCATTTTAAGTGCCGTATAAGATGGGTTAGTTGTTATAGTACTTAAAATGTAGTATAATGGGTTTTAACTTTTACGGTACTTAAAGTACCGTAATTGGCTTCACGGTCATGACCAAAGTTTTACGATACTTAAAGTACTGTAATATTACTTGAAGTTACTATGGTATTTAAAATACCATATAAAATGATATGTATTATGGTAGTAAGAGTACCGTAAAGGTCATTTTGGTCCAAAAAAAGCCGAAAATAAGGAAAAGGGTATAAACGAAAGTTTAGAGCTTTATTCCAATTAAGCTTAAATCAAGGTATATTTATGATAATTTCTCATTTTTTTACTTTCCATATATAAAAATAAATAAGAATATCTAAAAATAGCATCTCTTATATATAGGGCACCAAAGGGATATTCAATGAATGGAATTGGGATATTGATGGATGCATTGGATCACATCGACCAAGATACCCATCTGCAATCCGAGCAGTTGGACCTGTTTGTCTAGTCGATGAAAAATTTGAAGAAAATTTAATTGGAATCATATAGGTGATGTGCATGGTCGAGTCAAAATCAATTTGATCACGAGTTGAATTGGTTGATCTGAATTTTAATAAATTAATAAGAATAACAATAATAATTTTAAAATATTAACATATTGCAAAAAAAAAATTCCAACTATATTTGGCCAGTTTAATCGGGCAAAAACCAGTTGATTTGCCTGGCCAAAATCCATTAATCATTGTGTTTGGCTACTTTTTAGCTAGATTAGATTGATATTGATAATTATGTTAATGACAACCGTGGCCACCATCAAGGTCCAATCTATAGCTGGATGGTGATGGTGAGAATGTAAAGGGTGCGGTTTGTATAGAGCCTGCGCTCTAAACAATCAAATTAGAACCTACTTTCAAATAGTGTCGAGAAATGTGATTTCAATATTGGAAATCTTTGTGACAGTCTTAAAATATATTTTTAGCTTTAATTATAAAGTTTAAAGCTTCAAATATAGTGTAGATTGACCGATCTATAAAAACTTGAAAATCTTGAAAATTGTCAGTCCAAAAATGCGTTACAAAATACACTATTTTGAAAACCTGAAATCCATTTTTTTCTCATGTCCATGCATCTTGATGTCTAGATATTCAATTTGATTGGGAATCAAAACAACATCTTCTAGTGAAATTTTTGAGGTAGGCTCAAATTTAATTGTTTAGAGTGACTCAATATAAACCTTTCTCATTCATTAATTGATAATTGGATATCATATAATGGGACCTACCTCCTCCAATACTATCCAACCCATTGATGGGGCGATGATGACTACAAGTCATGGAGGTTTCATGACCACGTGGATACTCTCAAATGGGCCTAAAACATATTAAAAAACTTAGCTTTCTCTTGTTATAAAAGAAAATATCATTCTACCTTACAAAATCACTAAAATATTAAATGATCTCAATTGGGACATTGTGAGTATTAAATTCTAAGTTTTATTTCAATCAGTTTTCATTGTCAAAAAAATAAGGTAAAGAATGAAGCAATTGCCAATTAAGAACCTTAAACAAGCAATTCCATTTCAATAATGTAGCCCACTTAAGTGACCTAGCCAAATGATGATAATACACTTGGTTGTAAAACTCCTAAATAACACTTACCTCTATTTTGTATTCTATACCCTTGTTCAATATTATTTAATATTGTACAACTAAAGTATTGTCATAGGCTTGGACCACTTAATTGGGCTAAATTACTAACATACTCCTTGTTAAGATTTGTAATGTTGAATGTAGACAATTTGATGTTCTTTACTATATTTTTTTGAAGAGGTACTTGATCGAGATGACACTTAAAATACTAGCACTTATATTATATAGGAGGAATTAACCAACATAAGCATATTTTACATTTAATTGATATTTCCCCTACTATGAAGTATGCTCTATAAATGTGATCTGCCTTTGCAAGTATATCTGCTCCAGCCTTTAAAGGATATCTGTTCCAACAAAAAACGATGGATTAGTTATCATTAGAGAATTCTATGCATGATTAAATGGCAATTTTTACGTCATTATTGGTCTAAAAGACGAGCATGCGTTGTCTATGATTTTGAGTGGTACACTTGAGCCTTTAACATAATCTTCGTTGCATGCTTCTTTCATGTTCATAGGCATTCTTTCCATGTGAATAACCTTTGTTTTTTGTGTGTTCATCGTGTAAAATCTCTTTAAATTCTTGGTTACATGTTTTTTATGATTTGTATTTGCAAATGGATACAAGAATACAAAATTTCTCTTTTTCATAAAAGAATACAAAAATGATAGGACATGGGGAGAGATTGAATAATAAAATCTTGAATTTTGTACAAGCCAAAGATGCAGCAAGAGATTGGGATCGCGCGATCCTTGCACGCTTATTATTCACTTTGTTATTCCCGTGCGCGATCATCGAGAGATCAGGATCGCTTCTTATTCCCTCACGCGATCACCTTACGTGATCATGAGATTAA